TTCCAGTCCCAATGGGATTAGCATAGGAGTCTAGTATTTTAGTGTTTAAGCCCTCCCTATGCCTACACAATGAGAATGAAGCAGATGACTGGATGGGTCTCGACGAGTGGAGCACTTGGTTCAAATCTCAAGCCCGATACTCGAGCAGGAGCCAAGATTTTGTGAATTTAAACAAATTAAAAAAAAATTAAGACAACTAAAAACTATAAAAGAAATAGTCCTATGAGCATGCAATTAAAATAAATGGAAGAGAACTAACGGACTGTGAGGCTCGGCTGCCAAGATATTGGCCAAACAGCTGTAAAGGGGGGAATGCACAGGGGGGATGCGTCCCAACAGATATGGTTTATAATAACAATAACTATTATTATCTCCCAAACATATCAGTCCCATAGCACCAAAAAAGTGGCATGTTTAAATATTAGACAACGGTCTGCGCGCGCGCATCAGTGTCGTGAAGGTATGTGCACGCATTGTAAAAATTTACCCTCACCTTTTTTTCATAATGCCCAAAAAGAAGGATAACTTCAAAAATAAATATACAAATACAAAAGGCTGTTATAATTTGCTACAATGCAATAAACGTGATTATGTTCCTCGCAATGCGTTCGTAGTAAATACATCTATAATCATATACTTGCAATTGTTATTTAAATGAGTAAACTAATATTTACTCTTACGTTTTATTTACATGAAACACAATTTAAAGATTAATTTATTATTTTCTTTAATTCCCTGTAATTATATGTTTGATTTAATAACGAAAGTGTTCAAACAAATGCATCAGAGAAGCTCTGTAGGCGAAAGATGATCTCTCTTTACTAGTAGTGACGTAACAAATCAGTTTAAAGCAAAGGTTCGCGGACACGGGGGTATAGCTCAATGGAAGAGCATTCGACTGCAGATCGAGAGGTCCTCGGTTCCAACCCGGGACACCTTTTCTTCAGGGAAGTGAATATAAATATTTTTTGAGAAATTTGAAGGCGGGAATGATCTGTCCCGTTCTAAATATTTCTAATCAAAGCATTTTCGTATCCGTTCCTACGGAACGTAAAGCTCAGGAGGTATAGCTCAGTGGTAGATCATTCGACTGTAGATCGAGAGGTCCTCGGTTCAAACCCAAGTGTCCTTTACTTCAGGGAAATGAAGAGAAATATTTTTCTGATAATTTCGAAGGTGGTAATGATCTGTAACGTTCTGTATGTTTCTAGACAAAGCAGTTTGACATCCGTGACTGTGTGCGCGCATCGTAAAAAATCACCCTCATCCTATTTCTCTAACGCCCCAGAAGAAGTATAACTTCAATATAAAATTTCTAAACTTAACACACACACACACAAGTTTGTGCTTACCGAATATTTTTTTCTTAATATTATAAAAAAGAGAAAAAAGAACGAGAAAAATAAATCGGAAGCAAATGAAAAAATAGTTAAATATTAGTTAAATTTATCTGTAATATGCATTAATATATTTATAAATGCTTTTAAAAATTATTTCAATAGCTACTAAGGCAAAATATATGAAATATACGCACGATGCCATTTTGGAGGAGGCAGATAGTACATAGCACTACAACAGTACCACTTGATAAATTTGTCGGATCTCAGAAATCTCTGAAGTTGGATCATTTGACCTTGGTTCCGATGGAAATAAGAAATGAAGGGAGATAATTATAAACACCAAAATGTTGTATTATTAAACCTTTCACAAAATACACTATATGCTTATATATAACACGTACTAACTTGCATCCCCATAACATCAGAAAAAAGTAGCCTCTGATAACCAAGAATGATGTAATTGGTCAACCCGCGTTCATTCATAAAGAGGGCTCATTACCGTGACTTCTGAAAACATTGTTCGTATTTTTTTTTTAAAAAATACTAAGATTGTAGGCTTTTGATTTTCTGTACCACACAGTGTCTTTACATGTCAACACGAAATGCTAAAATATGGTATACTTTTAGATTTACAACCCTTTAAGTTCTTAAGAAACATTTCGAAATAGGTAAGCTACTGGTCATTAAAATTTCTACACCAAGAAGGCAACATGTTGCAGACGTGAAATTTAAACGACAGGAAGAAAGTGCTTTCATATGCAATATATTAGCTTTTCAGCACATTCAGACAAAGCAAGCGCCGGTCTACAATGTTTTTAAATTAGAGGAAATTATTCAGCCGGTTCCTAATACACAAATTGCATTCGAACGTTATTGCCTGGTGATAAGTTGTTATGATGTCTAGTGTAAGAAGCAGAAATGCGTACCAGAACATTTCTGGAACGCTTAATAAAAGCCCAATTGTAGCGCTTTTGGATTGTGTTTTATCGTATAATAGTATTGCTGATCGAGCCGGTCGAGATCCAATGACTGATGGCAGAATATGGAATCGATGTGTTTAAGATGGTAAAATGGAACGCCATGCTGAATCTCAACGGCCCTTATCACTAGCAGCCAAGAAGACAGGCATATTACCTGCATGGCCTTAATGGATCGTGCAGCCACGTCTAGAGCCCTGAGTCAAGAACTGGGGTCTTTTGAAAGACAAAAAAGTGTCTGTACGAACAGTTCCCGATGTTTGCAGCAGCAAAGACTCTCAGCTCAGAGGCCATGGCTGCGGCAATCCTTGGGGCTGCGGTAGCCCAGTGGTTAAGGTATCGGACCATGGCAGGCATGTCATGAGTTCGAGCCCAATAACACTGAAGACCCGCCGTGTAGGGCAGCGATGCACGTTAAATCTGTCGAGAGCTGAAACGTCCTCCCGTTGGTGTGGTGTGGTAGTTAGGAGAGGGGGGTGCCAGCTCAGGTGTCGTCCACGTCACTTGACCATGGTTCAAAATTACGTGGTCCGTCGCCAAAAGCCCTCGTGTAGCTGAACAGTGCGACGTTAATATTCAATCAATCAAT